CAACCGTCCGCAACCGTCCGCAACCGTCCGCAACCGTCCGCAACCGTCCGCAACCGTTCGCAACCGTTCGCAGTAGGACGCTAAGGCGCTGCCATTGGGGGAAGCTTTTGCAAGTGACTTTTCATGGATGTGTGACGTGTCAGTTTGCGACGCTATTCCATTGTGATTTGCATGAAAATGACATGTCGCGCAAGAAGCGTGATGCATTTCGCTGCGCAGGCGCAGTGGTTTGAGAGATCCGCAGTTTACTGCGCAGTGCCATTGGGATTAGCATTTGGAGAGTCGTGTTTTTGGGGTGTTGGATGTGGCCGTGCCATTGGGATTTGCATTTCAGGGTGTGGCCTCGAAGCTCTGTTTTCGTGACAAGTCTCAGCTGAAATGGCGATTTTGGTGGATGGGAGTGTGCTCAGAACGGGTCGAAATCATTCTAAACGTGTGGTGTGGTGCAAATTTTGTTGAAGCTCATGTGAGATGATATTCACTTTTCGTGGCAGGCACAGGATTTTGAGGTGTGGAAGTGCGATTTTCGTGGCCGGCGCAGGAAATCGTGAGGTTGCGAGGTGTGACGGAGGTGACATTTCGTGGCAGGCGCAGTACTTTGTGCGCGTTAGACGTGTGGACGCGGAAAGATGCGTGGCAGGCGCAGGGAATCGTGAGGTTGTGAGTTGTGGTAGAGGTGACTGTCGTTGTCTCATTGGGATTGGCGTGTGAGCGGGTGTTGTTTGGAGGGGCTGGAATCGCGAAACTGCTTGGCAGGGCTGCGTGATGTGTGTGCTCCGATGGGTGTTTCCGCTTGACTTTTGGAGGAAGTCTCGTACGAAACGCTCGTTTTGGAGACTTTGACACGTGAGTTTTTGAGGAAGTCTCGTACGAAACGCTCGTTTTGGAGAGTTGACACGTGACTTTTGGAGGAAGTCTCATACGAAACGCTCGTTTTGGAGACTTGACGTGTGACTTTTGGAGGAGGTCTCGTACGAAACGCTCCGTTTTGGAGACTTGACGCGTGACTTTAGGAGGAAGTCTCGTACGAAACGCTCGTCTTGCAGCCTCGAAGCGTGACTTTTGGAGGAAGTCTCGTACGAAACGCTCGCGTGACTGCTTCTAGTGTGTGGGCAGACCGTGTCGCGACACGAGTGTCCCACAAGAGTGTCCCACAAGAGTGTTCCACAAGAGTGTCCCGCAACCGTGTCCCACAAGAGTGTCTCACAAGAGTGTCCCTTAAGAGTGTCCCACAAGAGTGTCCTATAAGAGTGCCCCACAAGAGTGTCCTACAAGAGTGTCCCACAAGAGTTTCCTACAAGAGTGTCACACAAGAGTGTCCCACAAGAGTGTCCCACAAGAGTGTCCTACAAGAGTGTCCTACAAGAGTGTCCCACAAGAGTGTCCTGTAAGAGTGACCCACAAGAGTGTCCTACAAGAGTGTCCCACAAGAGTGTCCCAGAAGAGTGTCCCGCAAGAGTGTCCTACAAGAGTGTCCCGAAACAGTGCCCCGCAAGAGTTTCCTACAAGAGTGACCCACAAGAGTGTCCTACAAGATTGTCCCACAAGAGTTTTCCACAACAGGGGCCTATATGAGTGTCCCACAAGAGTGTCCTACAAGAGTGTCCCACAAGAGTTTCCTACAAGAGTGACCCACAAGAGTGTCCTGTAAGAGTGCCCCACAAGAGTGTCTTACAAGAGTGTCCCACAAGAGTTTCCTACAAGAGTGTCCTAAAACAGTGTCCCACAAGACTGTCCCACAAGAGTGTCTCACAAGAGTGTCCCACAAGAGTGTCCTACAAGAGTGTCTCACAAGAGTGTCCTACGAGAGTGTCCCACAAGAGTGTCCTACAAGAGTGTCCCACAAGAGTGTTCCACAAGAGTGTCCTATAAGAGTGTCCCACAAGAGTGTCCTACAAGAGTGTCCTACAAGAGTGTCCCAGAAGAGTGTCCCACAAGAGTGTCCTACAAGAGTGTCCCACAAGAGTTTCCTACAAGAGTGTCCTATAAGAGTGTCCCACAAGAGTGTCCCACAAGAGTGTCTCACAAGAGCGTCCCACAAGAGTGTCCCACAAGAGTGTCTCACAAGAGTGTCCCACAAGAGTGTCCTACAAGAGTGTCCCACAAGAGTGTCCTACAAGAGTGTCCCACAATAGTGTCTCACAAGAGTGTCCCACAAGAGTGTCCTACAAGAATGTCCCACAAGAGTGTCCTACAAGAGTGTCCCACAAGAGTGTTCCTACAAGAGTGTCTTCTAAGAGTGTCCTACAAGAGTGTCCCACAATAGTGTCCCACAAGAGTGTCCCACAAGAGTGTCCTACAAGAATGTCCCACAAGAGTGTCCTACAAGAGCGTCTCACAAGAGTGTTCCACAAGAGTGTCTTCTAAGAGTGTCCCGCAAGAGTGTCCTACAAGAGTGTTCCACAAGAGTGTCTTCTAAGAGTGTCCCACAAGAGTGTCCTACAAGAGTGTCCTAATGACATGACCTATAGGATAGTTTTACTCACTTCCGTTGTGTGTGTCTCATATTGCTGGAAATACTTGGACCCAGACGTCTGTTGTTCGAGGCTCCGGTGACACATCTAACAAACGTGTGTGCGATATATCCATACGAATGTTGGACCTGTAGGATAGTTTTCTTCACTTCCGTTGTGTGTGTGTCTCATATACTTCTTGTCGATGCAGGCGAACCACAACAACGCACGGTCTTGCACTCCTATTTACAAGAAGATCAGACGCCGCAATTGTGGATTTCTCTGTATTATGTGGACGGTTATCATTTGCAAGTGCTTATTTTCGAGATTTTGGGACAATGCCATTGTTTCTTTCGTGCCGCGGATCTGCCAGACCCTTTTACGCCAGTGCTTGATTTGAATGCAAAACAAAAATCCTTCATGATGAAGACAGAGCTTGGTGGTGAAGTCCCCAGCGCATGCTGCCTTGGTGGTGGAGTCCCCAGCGCATGATGTCCAACAACGTGTCAGAGAGTGAAAAAAAGATTCCCACCGGCTGTGTCTCTTTTTATACACAGTGGTTTGACGTATGTGTTTGCATTCGGGTTCGTGGGCTCCATCTTGTTCCTTTTTAATTTTATGTAATTTCTATGTCATGTCACTTCTCATCCTCGGACTCGTCATGAGACTCACTGAGTCTTGACTCGTTCTGCGTGAGGTGAAGAAGCTCATCGAATACCGAGCAGATCCGCTGCTGGACCGAACCAAACGGCCACAGTCGTCCATCACCGGTACGTGTCAACCCAATTCCTGTCTAGAGTCTATTCCAATTCATCTCAATTCCATTCCATGTCGATTATTCAATGATTTTGGATCCAAACTCGGCCAGTGTGTAGCCTAACATGCATTTTGAACAACTCATGCCAGGACAATAATGCAAGTGAAGATCCAATTGAGTTGGCCAAAGGTGCCATGGCCGGGTCGAGTTGGGGGTTTGTTGGAATGCATTTGCGACTCAAATATACTTTTTGTAAGAAGGAGGCTCGGTCGATGAAAGAGAACAGCCAGAAAATGTGACGAGTTTGCTTTCCCCTCATGGAGCCCGTGTTTTGCACATGTCAGAATCTTTGCCGGCTGTTAATTGTGAGGAGGTCAATGCAGAGGTAGTATAAAAAGCACAAACATGATCGAACATGCCGATTTCTTCTGCACATTCCTTCCCGTCTCACTTGCTCCAGCCAATGGTCATGAAGAAGTTGCAGAAGTCATGGAGGTGCTTCAGCCTGCTTCGTTTCTTTTCGGCCTTGCAAGAGCGAATTGGCCAAGGGCAGCTTTGCATTCGCTAAGATTAGCACCCGCAAACCACCCACTTCACCTCCAGTTCAGTGTATGCAACAAGTGTCATCGTTATAATAAGAACGGCGCACCTCACACCACAACATTATTGGGTTAGTTTTGGTGCTGCCATTGATGGCTGTAGGGTTTGTGGCCGTTGCTTTCGTCCTTTAGTTCACCATCTGGCCCAAGGCCTCCGTCGATGACAAGGAGCAGCTTGCAATGCCCTTGGGCCCAGCAAATTTGGTCCAATCCGAAATGATTTTTTTTCACTGTATCATGCATAATTATCGTGTACTTTATAAAAAGTTAGCTGGAAATGAAAGTGTTCAAGAATCTACGACCTAAGCTCAGATTTAATCAATAAAGGGCACCTTAGGCAAACACGAGGCAGGCAAAACAGATGTGAATAGAGGGTGTGGGTTTGCCATGAAAAGGATATGCGACTTGTTGATTTTTGGAACGTCACAATTTGCAGTGAGATTCGGTCGCAAAGGTCCACGTAGGGCTGGTCGCCACGAGGCCAGGCCCTGAATTCTGCTTCGTTCAATGCCTAGTCCTACTAGTCCGTCCTAATCACGAGACTGAATCGAGAATTTGTGCGAAATCATATAGCTGAGTATGACGACAGTGAAAAGCCATCAAGTGAACAAGTGTCACTGAATTCAATCCAATAATCCATCTAATCTATATAGTTTCCTTGGCCCTCACCGCGGATGTTGCTTTCGAATTGATGGAGTATCGGTCATTCAGGCCTCCTTACACCATTTTGCACCCAGATAAAGGGAAGAGATGATTCTCAGGGATTTGCATAAATCAATGTGCCCCCATAGTTTCTGTGAGCCTGGTCACTGTGTCCCAGAGAGTTTTGGTTGGTTCTTTTGCCTTTTACCCTTATGTACAAGTAGTGTCTATATATAGCTCTATATATAGATATATGTATATATACACACTTTTGTTTAAGCCCTTTTGCAATCTTCATGTTCCTTCAAGCTACTCCGAGGCAGGGGGGCTTGGGATCGGCTTCAAAAGCTGTCCTGTCCTCGTTCCACAACCCAGGAATCGGATCATTTTGGAACGTGAATCTCCTGTTTGGTCCTTTGTTTTGCTGCTTTACTTGTGCGTTTATTGTTCTTTATTTTGGTTTCCTGGTTTGTGGGTTTTTGCTAGTTCCCGTGTCAAGTATGTTGTTTCCGTGTGGTTTGTTGTGCTGGGTGCTCAGTCTTACTGGCCACTTTTGTCAAAAGGAATGACAAGTAATGAACGTAAAAGTCCTGGGGGTTCCATTCCTGATGCGCACACCAGTCCAAGCCATCTCAAGATGTGCACTTACAGAAAAGCGCGATGTACCAAACAAGTTCGATGGTGTGCCCATAAACCAGGAACAAGAAGCTACTAGGGGCTCCTGGCCTTACTACTAGGGGCAAGGACGCTACTAGGGGCTCCTGGCATCGCTACCAGGAGCATTCTTGCTAGTAACCAGAGCTACTTGCTGCGAGCATTCGAAGTCGAGCAAAGCTGGAAGTCGATCCGGTGATCCGGTTTAAGAGTCGGAAGGATCAGAGCAAGCCAACAGCAGAGCAGAGCAGAGCAGAGGGCATGCAATGAATCAATACCGTCAAAGATCGCCAAGTTGCAACGGCGGAAACAACAGCCGTACCTCTGAGAAAGCTAGCTGCTAGCTCGTTTCATCCTGAAATGCAGGTCTTCAACTATCTATCAGATGCCATCAGCGGACACTCATTTAGAGCCCTATTCTCCTGGCAAAGTAGCATTGACTTTGTGCAGTACGTTGACTGTTCTGAACACATCTTTTGAGATCGAAAACAATCATGAACATGTTCATGTGCACGCAGTTTGTTGTGCAAAGTTTGACTCATCCTTTGGATTTGTTTGAATTATTCTCACGTTTTGATTGAGAGCGGGGGGTCATGGGGCCTGGGTTTTGGTTTTCCCAAAATGTTAGGTAAATGCTTCAGTGGCAGCCGCTCTCCATATAAACACAAATACAACCTGAGTCAGGGTCATTTTATTTGTTGGGAAGCAACAATCAGTCATTCAGATGGTTTTTAGTAAAGAAGCAGGCCATAAAAGTGTTTATTTTAACAATTGTCCTCTAGATCTCTGCTTATAATTAAGTATAGATTTGGAAAGATTTTATATAGACGCTTTTATGTTATAAAAGATTCTCTATAGATCTCTGCAGATAAGCATTTTTAGATTTAAACAACTATATAGAAACCTTGTATGTTGAAGGCGTTCTTCTAGTTTTCTGTGGGTTTCCTCTGGATCTATGGGAAAGTAGATATTCCATATATGTGTGTTTTCATGAAAGGAAAGCTATTGAAAGAAAACCGTATTTATTGATGTATAGCATGTTTGAATTGACATGACCATTTCCAGAGATCCAGAGGAAAGCTTTTGAAATGAAAGCTACTATATATATATATATATGTATTTATTATAGAAATGAACATCCCCAGAGATCTAGAGGGAAGCTTTTGAATTAGAAGCTTACACGGATTCATAACAGTTTCATGTCAAGCTGATTGGACATGCAATTGGCAACCACATTGATACCAATCAGAAGTTAATGCACAGACTTGTGCATGGAGATTTCAACAAGGACAAAGGGAGTGTTGGGCTCAGACGCTTTCATTGTAAGAGCAAAGAACATATGCCTTTAGGTGAGACTTAGGCTCCCATGCTTGAAGTTTGAACGAAATAGTAATAACACTGATTGTCCTAAATAGGAAAACAAAAAGCAAAAAACCTTGAGAAAACCAATAACAACCTAGGAAAAACAAAAAAACACAATTCTGGAGAAGTCTTGAGGAAAGGGGGGGTCCAGCCAAGAGTCTTTGAGAATTGTTTTTTTGTTTTTGTTTGTTGTTTTGGGTTTTCCCAAGGTTGGTTGGTGCGTTGTTTTTTTCCTAAGTGTTTTTGATCTCATTTATCAGTGTTTTTGTTGGTTTTGATTGTATTTGTATACAATTACCTAAAGTTTATGGGAAACCAAAACCCAGGCCCCATGGCCACCCCTTCTGTTTTGATTCCTGTTTTGTGCTGTGGCTGCGCTCCCAGACTCCTCGCAACAAATCTCAAGATGAGTTACATTCAAAATCCTGATGGAAGGATTTTATGAGGAGTTGCACCAAACAATTTTTAGGAATGGACTTAAGAAGCCCTCCTGCAGCTAATTCCGAAAGGAGTGCACAGCATGTCAAACTAGAGAATTGCGAAAGGTGGGTGGGTGGGGTCCATGCGGGTGACCAGATTTGCTTCAGCCATTTGACGAGCCGTTTTTGCCAGATCCGGATGGAACTTCCTCTGAGCAGATCCTTAGCCATGTTACCTTGCAGGTCGTTTCACCGCCAGCCTCAAGGAGGTGGTTTAGCACCAAAGGTGCAAGCATAAGCAGCCATCGGCAAACGAAAGAAACGTTGATTGAGGTGTGGCGCAGTGTGATAGATTTAGTATTTCAACATGAAGTCGCATGTGATAGGCACGTTTGGCACCAGCAACTGGATAGCCAAAGAGCACACTCAGGGCGAGGCACGAAGTTCGCGAAGCTCATGTTGTTTCCAGAACGTCTTGGTCTTGGCTCAGGATGGTATATATGCAAATGTTTTTTTTTCTTTGCGTGTCCTTTTCCAAAGCACACGTCCCTTCGGCCCTTCCTGCGAGAGCGACAGTGACTTACCTCACGGTCACAGTTGACCGTGAAGAGTCGTGAAGTGGTGAAGGGGTCTAAGACTCAGATTTGCTCAAACTCGGTTGCAACACGGATGTTGTATTTCCCACCAGGTGGTTGGCTCTACTTTGCATGGCTCCGTGACTAAATCAAAGGAGATTCGACCAAATAGACAATGATGTCAGCTAGGACCAGGAGCGCTGAGTAATCCAAACTCGACTAATGGAGGTTGAGTGGCCACTGTCGACCCTCATAAATCCTCCAAACGGTCCCCATTTGGCGAAAGGAATCTGAAAGGATCTTGAACTTCGGGTTCCTTTTCACGAAAGCTAGCGAAGCTAGCTGGAGTTACTCTTGCGATAGCAAGGTTTCTTTCGACCGGGTGCAAATCCTAACCCGTGATTTTTCAGGTCGAAGCCCCCTCCCCCCCGCCCTCCCCCTCCCCTCTCCCCACCTCCCCTCTCCCCACCTCCCCTCTCCCCACCTCCCCTCTCCTCCTCCCACCTTCCCTCCCTCCCTCCCTCCTCCCTCTTCGTCGCAAGTTCGACTCCGTCCTGTCGTCGCTCTTTGGCATGCGGTTAGCGTTGCGTATCTTGCGGCCGCACTCGCTCACTCTCACTGTCTCACTGTCTCACTGTCTCTCTCTCTCTCTCTCATCTCTCTCATCTCTCTCATCTCTTTCTCATCTCTCTCCTCTCTCTCTCTCTCTC